GGTTCAGTTCCTAGTGCACCTTGCCGATGCCTTTGCACGTTTATTAATTGGTCAGCGCACGAGCTGCCCATGCGAAGATGCGCTTTTTTGCATAGTTTCCCGCAGTTTTCGTCGTTACCGGCACCGGTTTTCCCGACAGATGCTTCTAGCTAAACAAACTAGGACTGGCCGCCAGGACTGTCATGAAACACCCACTTGAAATTTCAGCTTTCTAGCTTTTCTGGCTCCCGAATTAGCAGCTTACTCAGAAAAAATTTCACGAACGCATACGTGGGTAACACGCATACCCGGGGCTGGGCTTGAGATCATTGATATCTACGCGGGCAGGGGGCTTCTCTTTAAAATTTCAGTTTTCCAGCTTCTCTGGTTTTCGAGTTAGTATCTTACACATAAAAGGCTTTGGCGGATCCCTACATGGGTACCACGCGGGTAAGAGCGCCCATTCTGGGGATGGAGACCCGTACATGCATGTAGATTAAGTTCCCAAAATTTCATCCCCGTAGCTTTCGTAGGTCTCGAGATGAAAAATCGGTACAGAGGAACACACAAATACACACACAGACAACCCCTCGTCAGTATGCGTTTTCTGCATCGCACAGCTGCAAAAAACGCATAAAAACTCAGACCGGAACGCACCAGGCAGGCCGGTGCGATTATGCGTTTTTGCACTTTTCGTGCCGTAGCAAGATGGCAAGGAATCAAAATAGCTAACCCTGTGACATACTGGCCCTTGAAGTTCGGGAAGTTAATTGTGCAACTGTGTGGTTTGACAGTTGTAGATGTCGACTTCAGTGACCCGACAAATGGAAAGTTGCTGGTCCGTAAAAAAAGGCCGTACTAGAGGAGTTAAATTTGAAATCTTTTGGTCACACATGAGTAGGAAACATTCTCCGAAAGTTTTAGCTTTCTAGCTTTTCCTGTTCCTGGACTAGTAATTTTTGCGCCAAAATTTCCACGTACCCGCACGTCGGCTCGGAGTGGTCCTAAACACCTGATTTTGGTTGTACATAAGTAGGAAACATTCCCCGAAAGTTTCGGCTTTCTAGCTTCTTCCGCTCCCAGGTTAGTAATTTTCGCGCCAAAATTTTCACGTACCCGTACGTAAGCCCAGAGCGGTCCTAAGGAGCTGAGTTTGGAAGCTTTTGGTCGTGCATGAGTAGGGAACATTCCACCAAAGTTTCAACTTTCTAGCTTTTCTCATTCTCGAGTTATGAATTTTCCCGCCATAATTTTCACGCCCCTGCATGTAAGCCCCGGGCAGTCCTGGGCAGCTGAATTTGAAATCTTTTTGTCATGCATGGGTAGGGAACATTCCTTTAAGGTTTCAGCTCTCTAGCTTTTCTCGTTCCCGAGTTATCAGTTTTCCCGCCAAAACTTTCACGTGTTCGTACGCGAGGCCCAGACGTGCGTAAGAGTTGATACCGCGATCCTGGGGTGGTACTTGGCTGAGGAGCACATTGGCAAAATTTCAACTTCAAAGCTTGCATGGTTGGAGAGTTGAAATACCCGGGCAGACGAACACCCACACTGAGAGGGTCGTTGCAGTATACGTTTTTGCTACTTGTTGCAGTGCCCTAGCGCTGCACGGCAAAAACGCATAATTAGGAAAAGGAGGCTAGTACAACTGAATCTTAGAAAAAAGTCGTTGAACATTTCTTGCTAGGGGTAGGTGCGTTGAACTGTAGGAATAACTGACACTCGGAGCCTCCAGTTCTGTTTAATTACTCAATATTTTTCTAAGGAGGGCGCATTTGCTTCATCCACCCCAGTGCTCTTCGTAAAAGTCGATCGTCCGGAAGGCGGAATCGCTTTTTTTTGAAAGGGTGCTTCCAGTTGGTTTCATCAGGCTGGAGGGGAGAAAAAAGAGGCAGTAAACAAATTGTAAGTTAGCGAGAGGTTTCATTTTACTGCGCCTTCTGGCCGAAGAAAAGGTATCGGAATTTAACTGAAGACATTTAGTATCAGTGTAGGATGAACGTGGCATTTTTTAGCACACTCCAGCAAACGGTTTAATGCGGGAACACGGTCTTTTGACTGTCCTCGGAATTGGATGTGGCATGCTTTTTCGGATTCTCGTTATTTAATGTTTCACAAGGCGAAGTTTTTTGAGCAACTTGTGTGGATAAGAACGCCGCAGGCGGGTTCTGGACAATGTTTTCTTGATTTTTCTTAATGTTTTTTTTGGACAGATTGGCGGTTTCTTACAACATCAAGCCTTTGGTTGTTGTTTTTCCAGTGAAACATCGTCAGGATCGAACGAGGCGGAGGACCTTCCACGAGTTTTTGGCCACTTTACGGCCGATGCACCACATTTGTGCAAATTAGCATGGGCAGGGGAGAGTAATGAACTCCTCACTTTCGTTATCTCGAGACCCTCTGAATTGTGACATGTTGCCTGTTACGCTAGTGGTTCCTGCGCTCCGCGCAGTAATTTGGAGTAAGCACACCATATCTGTGTATACGCCACTCACATACATAACACTCTATTAGTCCAACGATACCATATGCAGAGCACACTTTTTCCTTTCTTGCCGGCTTTTCGCGGGTTTCACCACAGTTGTCAGTCTTAGTGTTGCTCGAATAAATTTAAAATGCTAGTTCTTTGCGGAGATTTTTTTAATATTTCGGAGCTGCGTTTTTTCGAATTATGATGAAGGGAATGTTGAGTTAGTGCAAAAAATGGATGTTTTTTACGCTTCCTGAAATGAGACTTTTTGTTATGCTGAGGCAAATCTTTACTCTTGTGACAGCCAGATTTTTTTTTACGAACTAGTTATATATGGCGAAAGTACTATTGTCATAACTTAACCCAGAAGCCTTGTTGCATGAGAAAATTGTATAATGGATTAATAATGGGGGCATAGCTCGGCGGTAGAGCACTCGATTGCAGATCGGTCGGTCCCTGGTTCAACTCCTGGTGTTCCCTACGGCACTTCCAGTTTGTAATTGGGACGTTTTGGAAAGTTTGCTTAGATAATTCTTGTGGCAGAACTGACCGGATTTAACAGCTCTCGCGTACGTTTGCGTGTAGCAGTAAGTGAAGAGCGAAGCAAGTCTTGTAAGTTATCATTGCTTCCATTGATAACGTTTTCAGCAACTCCCTTTTGGGAGTGCCGAATAGTTCATCTGAGAAGTAAGCTGGGAACGCTTTTAGTTTATGGATCTCCTATGAAAATGAACGAAAAGTGAGATTCGCAGTGCTGGCAAGTACTTTGCGTCCATAAAAGTCTGGGAGCTGGGTTGTTCAGGATCAGAGTTCCGTGCTTTCAGTATAGGAACGCTTGTCATGCACAGACTGGCTAATTTAAATTGTGATTGCTGTAGTCTTTAGTTAGATTGCTTGCCGCCATAAATTCTCAAACACATCAATTTAGACAATAAAACACACCTGTGTCGGTCGAGTCAAAACAGTCCTGCAGTGGTATTGCTGATGCAGCTAACTAACTGAAACATCTTGTTGATAGGCTTGCTTCCAGCCCTAGTAGGACAGGAGGGGTTTTTAATCGGGAGCTTAGCAGTTAATAAATTGGTCGGATAGTCTCCTTGTTGCTGTAATTTTAGGATTAAGTATGGTAGCAGTAGCAGCAGTGATTCATTCAGTGAACTTGTTACAGCGGCTTTTCATGGAAATCATGTGAATATCTTTTCAGGCTTTTTAGAGGCACTAATATTTAAGTGGCGTTAATATTGGCATATGCGTAAGCAGTAAGGAATTTCCTTTTCATCTTTTATCCTTACCGCAGTCGCTTGCACTGGTTGATTT